TTTTCGAACCTATTAATTTTTTCTTCCTGATTTTTACCAAGAGTTTCCATTTGCTTTCCCAACTTACGTATTGCTCTAATACCAATTGTTATGGTTGAATTCCAATTTCGCATCAAAACTCAATCAAACACCAAATAAACCAGAATAATGGAACTAAATTCAATACTTGGCACTTAAGTGTAAACTATATTTCGTTCAACTGATATTTTCTATTAAAATGCAAGGAATTACAAGTGAAAGAACAATTATAAAGGAGAAAATATCGATCAGCAGAGGAAGAAGCAAGAGAAACAGAGAAGAAGAGGAAGAAGCAGGGGAAGAGCCTTACCAAAGAGAAGAACAAGGACAGAAAGGAAGAATAACAAGAGATGGGAGGAAAAGAGGAAGAAGAGGCAGCACACCACGATTCACTTCCTCTTCTCAATCGTCGTCAAAACAAAACCATATATATAAGCCTAAGGCTTGGGCTAGCCAACTTAGATAAAACAAAAGTAAATGGCCCAATAAGCAAGTAATGGTATATTGAGTCCATGCCACGATTCTGGGTAAGGGAAAAAAAATGAGAATTTGGAAATGTGTTTTCGAATCAAAATTAAACATGTGAAATTGGAGGTTTTGAAAGAATGAATTTACGAAATTTTGGTATGGTGGCAATTGGCGATTTCACGTCATGGTGGTGGCTGTGATGGCGGCGAATGGTGGGGTGGTGGTTCGCCGACAGTGAAAGGTGTTTTTTTCTGGTTTAATTTTGATTGTGGAGGTGGAGCTAGGGAAGAAGTTTCAATTCTACACTTTTTTTCTTTTCTTTTCCTTTCTCAATTTTTATTTATTCTTTTAAATGTTTATAATAGGGAAATTTAAAATTACTATTTTACCCCTTTCAATTTAGTTAAAATTGGTCAAATTCACTTTTCTTGGTCAATTAGCAGTCAAATTGATGGTTTCCACCCAATTGGACTCCGGCTACTAATTTCTCAAAGGTTTGAGACCTCTATTAACATAAATTGAAGGTTAGAGTAAACTCTGCTAAAAACTCAAAAATTTGGGACCGTTGTTACAATTTTCCCTAGCTTTTTGTTCAAATATATATAAAAAAAAAAAAAAAAGAATCATGTTATATGTACATAATCATTTACACAATCTTTTACACTCGCCTCACATGGAGGGGGTCCCACAGATAATAAAATATTCACGAACATTATTCATGTGAGAGAGGTAAACGTACACATGGTGGACAAACAGCATTATTCAAAAAAAAAAAATACACAGTGTACATTATTTCTTGAATTTATTCAATCTTACGTAACACAGAAGAAAAGATTTAGGCGGCTAAGGTTACAGTACACGTTCTGTCAACGTACCCTGTTTGCATATTTGACGGAGAATTAATACTCCAGTGTTCAATTTGGACAGTTCATTCTGTCAAAATTTGATTCATTAATTATTTAAAATATAGCTAAAATTAATGTATAAAAAATTATCATCTCATAACACTATCAAATTTGATGTATACGGAGCAAGATTGTTCAATGGAAGTAAGAAAACATCCTTAAAATCTTATTCGGCAGTGTGAACAGTAAACATGTCCCAAGAAACTTTTATCAAATTTAATTTTTCAATTATCACATTTCATAAATCGAAAGCGACAAAAAAGAAAATAACATACCTGAATCTCGTGGTCTGCAACTCCAACTGGGTCCGTCAAGGCAGAAGCAACGGAACCTGAAAGTAGTGGTGTTAAAGCCACATCGGCCGCCATCTCTCTCACATCTACTGCAGTCACCCTCGACTGACCAATNATATTTTATGGGAATCATAACTTTTAGATCATATATTTCATCAACTTTTATCAAAATCTGCTAAGAATTTGATTTTTATATGAATCAAACAATTGGTATATATTTTCATCTTTATTCGATGTTAGATTTTATTCTTTAACATGCACCGTAAGATAGTTCATTTGAACAGATCAATCTTAAAATTCGTGTGCTCATTTTTTGAGTCTTAATCGGATTGAATTACACATTAGAGTATCTTAAAAAGTCAACCTTATTAAAAGAAGTATATTTTCATCTTTATTCGATGTGGAATTTTATTCCTTTGTAATATATATATGTATGACTTATAAATAAAAATAATAATAGATGTTATCAAAAGTTTATAGGTATGTATGTAAAAAAAAGAAAAAGAAAACACTGTGCAACAAAAAAGAAAATAACATACCTGAATCTGTACGTGGTCTGCAACTCCAACCGGGTCCATCACGGCAGAAGCAACGGAACCTGAAAGTAGTGCTGTTAAAGCCACATCGGCCGCCAGATCTCTCACATCTCCTGCAGTCACCCTCGACTGACCAATTCAGTGCAAACCCTCTCCTCAAAATCTCCTCATACTCTCCCATTCCAATCCTCTCTTCATCTCCATGCACTTCCACCGGCGCCACCACATGTTTTTCGCAATTTTCCAATCCCTTCTGCAAATTTTCATCCTCATCCCATAGTGCTAAAACCAAATTATCTCTTTTGTCACCCTGACAGACAACCTTGTATTGCAAAAGATCATTAGACAACGGTTCTGTACAATTGGACAACAAATAAAGCATTGATGCATTAACATAACGAAACTCCCTGGTAGGAAATGTCGTGTTTATGATTTGTGGAAGGCATCTAAGGTTTGAAGTACTCGAAACAGCAGCATTATAAACACGAAAAGAACGATTAGGATAGGAAATGCTTTCGACTATATAGTCATTTTCTGGTAAACTAATCGTTGGATAGCCATGTTTGCTGCAGTTGAGATGAAATCCAGGGTAACCACAGTAGGATTCTTGCAAACCTTCAATGTAAAATGGAAAGGTTATGTTTAGGCCATTGCCACAATCCCTGGGAGGGCATGCTTCGTACCGATAATCAGCAGCTGAAGATTTTCTCGATAAAAGGATAAAACAGAATATACAAAGATCTAAAGATGGCAAGAAAACGGTATACTTCATGTTTTGGTGAAATGAATTCAAAGCTTCAGACACAAATGGATGGCTGTCTATGTCTTCCTTATTTATTAAACTAATTAAGGGTCATCTTACAAAAGTCGCACTTATTGACCAATCTGTGAATATTTGAATACTGGTGCAAGGGTTTTACTGGTTTTTCATGTTGCCTGGTGGAATACGCAAAGAAAGAGGCCACAGATTGAATTTATGCTTATGCGCTATCCATCAATTTGTATCTTCCGTGCAAATCGATTGAAAAAAAACTGGTCCATGATTCTACCGTTAATTTATTGTGGACTATAGTGCAAGCTGCCCACTGCTGATGGATGTTTCTACCGTTGTCCAAGCGACACCTCACTCCCTTTATTTTTGCGTAGTTTCTACGTTAGGCTGAATATTAGTCAGACCTCTGACTTGGTTGCTTTCTTTATTGGATATAAATTCTGAGTAAAGAAATAAGTATTTAAAAGTTCTTAAAAATTGAACTCCCATTAGATTTTATTTGTACAACATTTATCCATGCTATTCGAGTAGTTGTGAACTTATGTTTACCTAAAGGATTAATAAACAAAATAGCGAAATGTTGCTAAAAATTAGGGATTAATCTATATGTACAAAGGGTCGGTTCACAGAAGGCTTACCGACCCTCACATGAGGTAGGTCCCGCACATAATTAAAAATTGGTTCAAAATTTTCCCGCCCCTCCCTATGTGTGTGATCTGTGGGGCTTCTGTTAAGCCTCATTCTGTAATGGTAGCAAGGCTCAAAACTTGGATGTTTATATTTTGAAGCTTCGTCTTAAAATGTTAGACTTGTTAAGAGAATAAACTCAAGCACTAACGATTAATCCTTATATGTTGATTAGTATTTTCTATAATAAATCGACAAAATTTACTTTTAATATGGTCATGAAAGATGATAGCTCATTTGAGCACACCAACCTCGAAATTCAAATGATCGTTCGAATTTGAGACTGATTGAATTGCTTATTAGAGCTTTATAGACTCTAGTATTATATTTAGATTCAAGTTCCATATTAAAATGTAATTTAAAAAAAAAAACGAAAGAGTAGCCAAACTCATATATTGGTTAGTAAATTTACTCTTAATAGTTTATATATTCTAGTAATTCTGTGTTTACAATTAATACATGATTTTTTTTAGACAAAACCACTAATGTAAATTCCAAGTTTGAATAAAGTATTCGGTAAAGAATAATGCTATGTGGCACTACTCATATTAAAACACCACATTATGTGACAAATTGGTAGCATTAAATGATAAATTCAATTAAATTTGGTGTTATGAGATCAATCGAATCGAATCGAACCTATCACGTGTTGTCATATAATGTGGTGTTTTAGCACCAATAATATATAGCATTACTCTTCAGTGGGATGATTTTACATGGACATGTGGTAGGATTGGTCATTTAAATCATAACTTAATGGATCCTAACCTACTTAATCACGACGAATCGACATTTAAATGGATCCAACAACACTTGTTTCCCTCTCTTATTATCTTGAATGTAGAAATGCCGTGATTTGAGTGGTTTAGAGTTTGAGGTGTGTTTGGTTTAATGGATCCGACGACACTTGTTTCTTTCTCTTATTACCTTGAATGTAAAAATGTCGTGATTAAAGTGGTTCAGAGTTCGAGGTGTGTCTGATTTAAACAGTAAGTCCTATCACTTGTGTTTGTAAAATCATCTATTGAAGTTTTTTCTCCCAAGGTTTGTGACTAACAAGTTGTTTGACAAAGTTTTTGATAAAACTTTTGTAGTTTTAATAAAAGTTGTTTTCGCAAAATATATGATTAAAATAAAAGTTCGGCCCGTTAAAAGTATATAAAAATAAAGCAAAGTTTTATAAAATAAGCAAATAGATATAAACATTACATCTCGAGGGGATAGATTAAAAATTCCATTCTTGGACCATATAATATTGTCGCATATTGGCAAAATTCGTCTAGATTTTGTGCATACCAAGTGTCTATCCACTTTCCTTTAGAAGGCGATGTCCAAATTTGGCTAATATATTTTCAAACGAGAAATGCTACACAAACAGGAAATATTTCCAGGCATTGGTGACCAACACATGTGGAGTTCAATCATTGGGAGATGGAATTTTTTTTTCAAAAAACAGGCAAATCAAAAGCTGCCACGTCATTTCTGTCACCAAACCCTGTCACTTTTACCTGTCTGAGTAGCTTAAATCTTTTCAAACATTTCATGATTATTCATGATATTTGATAAATCGCCTAAAATTTGATTGATTAGACATTTACACGTTAACATAAGGAAAATGAGCAGCCCTACATGTACAGATACAGAAAATTTCCAGACAAGACACAAAATGATGGGACCCACTTTTTTAATAAAATATTTAATTCACATGAGGCCCACATTCATGTGAGTATTTGTGAGACTTCTGACGATGAATAATTCTGTACATTGAGAATTATTCAAGGAAAATGGAGGAAAACAAAGTGGGAAACGAAACGAAGTACAAGTCTAATTCTTTAGTAGTACAGTTTGATCTTTTAAAATTAATAAAATATGTTGTACAGTAATTTATTAAAGGATGTGATTACTAATTTAATTGTCGACAAGATAATTACGGATGAAGATCTCATAACAATTGTATCGTCACAAGATCAACTCAAAGATAAATTGAAGATCCCCTTTAGTCTAA